TCGCACTGCATTGCTGCAAAAAACGCATAAAAATGCAAATTAGAAAATGCGCAGGATGTCAGAAGAGGATTATGAAATCCACAAAATGCACTCGCTTTTAAGTTTGCGATAAGATCGGGCAGTTGTTACGCCTGTCTACACGGAATTTCACTTTCAGGCTGTATTTAGACCAAATGTGAATACGGGATGTTCTTGCAAATTTTCAGCTTCGCAGCTTAATCGGTAAGCGAAACAGCCACTTCGCTACAAAAATCTTTGAAGTTCCCAAATTCGTGGTGCAAATACAAATCGGCATTCGATTTAGACATGCGATTTTCTAAATGGGTAATAAGTATTCTGAAAAAATTTCATCTACTCTTTCTTGCTGGTTTTCGGATTGGTACAGTGCTAAATGCAAACTTGACGTTACTGCAAATGGCGTAGGCGTGCGCGACAGCTGTGTTTAAAATCTTCGGCTCATACATTCACAAAGGATAGTGTGTGTTTCAGTATTGCAGTGTTTCAGCTTTCTGTCTTGTATGTTTTCTGAAACCGTCTCTCGTCGAAAAAACTTACATATTTTTTTGGAGAATCTGTAAGCGACATCTGGGCGCGTACAAGTGACGATTTTAAAACGGGAGGGTGGTGACATATGAGCAGGAATATGTTACCGAAACTCCACCCTCCCAGCTTTCCAGGTTGCTGAGTTGAAAGTGGATGGGAAAGTGTGTGTGTGTCTACTTGTATGTTTGTGTGTTCGCACTTTTCCTGATCCACTTTCAACACCCTCTGCATCGTTAAATTTGTATTTTTCGATGGGCGACCGCTCACCTTTAAAACGACCGGACTTCGTGCGAAATTGATAATTATACACGCCGTAGGTTCATGTGGCCTCATGATGCAGCACTATCATCCCAGTTGAGCCTTTTCCCCCCGCAATACGCAGGGAAAGGCTAAAGCACAACCAAGATGAGTCCATGTGTTAAACCACAACGCAGGAAACATTCCTGCTACTAACGATCTGTTGCTGCACGTTTAACGCCAAAACGCATGATCGCACCGAAAAGCTTGGTGCGCTTCAGCCTAGGTAGTTTACCGTAGCATCGCTTTAGCGCTTCATAACAAAACAAAAAACGTGCTTCGAATCCTTGCCTGCTCATGATAAACTAACCTTGCATGG